AGAAAGATTTAGACTATGAGGACCTGCTAAGTTATTCAAAAGGGCTTAATATAAAAATCAGAATAATTAGATCTAAGGGTCATGTATAAATTGGAGGCAGAGCCAAAGGGACTGTGGCCTGGTGGGCAGTAAAAAGAGGGCAAGACAAGCAGGTCACAAAGAGTTGTAATCCCTATGCAATAGGAGCCCTGCCTGTCTTGTTCACCACTGTATTTCGGCACCTCAAAAATCCCTGGCACATATAGGCACTCAATATTTACGTACTGAATGAAAAATTGTCTTGGGTAATTGGCATTTCTGGGGCCTATATTCTTAGACTACATAACTAGTAGCCAAATAATAACCAGTGAATTGAAAGTCTCTCTCCTTGGGGCAATGGAAGCTCCTGCATTGTGTCTGTACTAAATGTGTCAGGTGTCTCTGTTCCATGTTAGGCTTGTCTCATCTCACTACTTCACTTGTCAACCTCCTGTCTTCTCCTAGAACAGCTCTGGGAATGCAGCTAAAGACTCAGCAAACACTAATTGGTTCTGGTTGAATTGAGCAAGGCTTCCCTGGGCAACTCTTCCAGTTTGTTATGAGTTATAAAGTTCTCCTCCCACTGATCAGAAACAATCTTCGGGTCCAAAGGGGTGGGATCTTATTTTAAGGAGGTCTTTTGACTCTTCAGAGACTTCCCAACTATAACATCTTAGTGTGCTAGTAAATCGGGTAATATGTCTTTTCCCTGTTTTTCAAACAAATATATTTACTTACCGTGCTTTCTTTCCTTCTTTAATATTAGACTCACATTAAATTTTAGATCCTTAAGAGTAACAACTGTCTTTTCCCTTGCTTTGAATTTTTTCACAGAAGTAAGAATATTGCTTTCATGACCTTCCTTCTACATTTATTCAAAAGTGATCCTCTCATTGAGAAAAAAGGAATAAGTATTGGATCCTTGCAGCAAGATATGCAACTTAATAATGATAACTGCATTATAAATTAGTTCATTGCATCTTGAATCTGGAATAAATCATAGCTTTGAAGTTGATTTCCATGACATGTGCCATCTTGCTTCCTTTCTTAAAAGAACATGCAAAAGTGAACGTTACAAGCTTCTGAGGCAGCAAGCCATTGTGTGAATTCATAGTTACCCTCCAGTTTGCCAAGAGAAAGTTTGCCAAGACAACAGTTATAAAGTGATTATTCTAACAATACAAGTTTTATTTAGATATAATCAGCTATTTATTTAACATTGGTTTTTTGACATACAAAAATCAGACAGAAAATTGTTTCACACATAATCTCTTGTTACTATCTTAACAGAAGTCCGGATCTGACTTTGTAAAATGAGAGCTATCCATCCTAATTACATCTGATCCTTGATCTAAGACAAGGTTTCTCAACCTTGGCATTACTGTCATTTTGGACCAAATTATTTTTTGTTGTGAGGACTGTTCTGTCCTGCGTTGTACAATGTTTAGCAGCATCCTAGGCCTCTACCCACTAGATGCCAATAGCACCCTCCCACTCTCATTGTGACAACGAAAAATGTTCTCAAACACTTTTGAATGTCCTCTGGGAACAAAATTACCCTGGTTGAGGATCACTGATCTGAAACAATCCTCAAGTCCAAAGTGGCAGGGCCTTTTTAAGGAGGGCTTTTGATTCTCCAGAGAATTCCCAACTATAACATCTTAGTATGATAGTAGATCAGGTGGCATTTTTTTTTCTTAAACAAATACATTTACTTGACTGTGCTGTATTTTCTTCTTTAATACTAGACCTATATTAAATGTTAGACTCCTTAAGGGTAACAACTCTGCTTTCTCTTGCTTTGAATTTCTTCACAGAAGTAAGAATAATGTTTGGTCTGATATAAACACTTAATGTATGTAGACTAACTCCATAAAATTTTGAAGTAGAAGAAATTCATGTGTGCTTTTAATGAGCAGAATGTAAATCCCATGAAAGCATGGTTTTAGTTTTTGCTTTTCTCAGTAATACTCACTGTTGCACTCACAGCACTTAGAAGCAGACCTGATACATAGTAAGTGCTCAATAAATATTTGGTGAATGAATTGTACCACTTAAAAAATGTTGCATGGGGTCCCAGCCCAATTTCCTAAAGGCCAACATTTACAGTTCATAACAGAGGCTCAAAGCTCTCTTTATTCTGCATTTTCTAGTCTTCATTTCTGCTTCTTTAATACATAGTCCCATCTTTTTGACTCAAGCTTTTCTACTGATGTTTTCTCAAATGCCCATGAATATCCTTGTCAGTGCACAACGACTCACTTTGTTTTCTCTGTTTAGGATTTTTTTAAAGCTCTCCATGGAGTCAGATAAATACAACACACACTTCAAATATCAGGTTATTTTATCTCTCATAGGTAACATTTTATGACTTCATGAACTCATAAGCATCTTTCCTAACTCAAAGCCTGACACTTGCTCTTCTGTACCTCTCCCTGGGCATTTTAATTATATGAGGTGTGCTACCTTTGAATAATTGTTTTTTATGTGTGTATGTCATTTTTTCCAAGTAGACTGTGATATTTTAAAGGCAGAAACAAATTATCTTTCTTTTTTTTTTTAAACACCAAAGAGTCTATTAAATGGCATCTACATAGTGAAGGGACATTGTTCTCATTAATTCTTTTTTTCATTTAATTATTCAACTGATATTTTTTGACTGCCTACTCTGTGCTAATCATGTGCTAGGAGGCAAAACAAATATGTTCCCTATCCTTATGAAGTGTTTAGATCTATTGGAGAAAAAATGGTATCTAATGTGGTGAGAACTAGATTTAGAGTCAGACGATCAGTGTCAACACTAACTCTGTCACTTACTAGGCATATGATCATTTAAGCTTTCAATGTCTCAGTGTTCCCATCTCAAAAATTGTAAACAATAATGTTCTCTATTACTCATAATGAAGATCAAATCACATTGCATTTTCTAAGTGACAGGATATGGTGGCTTTAATTTTTTCCACAAATTCTTCGATACTCTTTCCTTCAAGGGATGGAGCTTAATTCTTCTCCCCTTGAATATAAGCTGGACCTAGTGACTATCTTCTAATAGATAAAATAAGGCTGAAGTGAAGGTGTGCAATTTTGGACTACATCATAAAAAGGTATCATAGCTTTTTTCTTCGCCATTCTGTTTCCTGAAGTTACTTGGTCTGGGGGAAGCCAGTTGCCATATTGTAAGTAGACCTATAAAGAGACCCATGTGTCTCACTCACATGCTTGAGCTTAGAAGCAGATGGTTAGCTACACTCAGGCCTTCAGATGACTGAGGCCCCAGCCAACAATGTGACTAAACCTCATGAAAGAACCTGACTTAGTGCCATTGAGCCAAGTTTGTCCTGGATTTCCGATGCCCAGAAACCTTATGATACAACATATATTTTAGAAGTTGCTGAATTTTGAAGAATTTTTTAATACAACAATGGACAACTAATACACAAGGTACCAGAGATATTTGAGATATTATTATTATTGAACATGCTAATATTTGTTGAATAAACACTGTCAAAATTAACCATGATTTATTACTGAATGATGAGTGGAAGACAAAGTAGAAGACAAAGAAGCTTCAAAAATAAGACAAAGAAAATTACACAACATTAAGAACAAGGAAAAATAATATGGATGTGAAACTTTGGATGGTTGATTTGCAAACATTTCTGCTACCTGATTCATTTTCTGAGAAGTATTAACCTGTGACAGTGACTGCAGGCAGTATTCCAAAGACTATCAGCTAAAGAAATTGTTCATTCCCACTGATGGTTTTTGTTTTATTTCATTTTTAATTCTCATTCTGAGCTAAAATTGATAGTTTTAATTAAATAAGAAATGAGGACCATACTTCTACTCTACATAGAATACAAGATTTTTTGTATGTGTGTTAGAGAAAGTCACCATGGTTCTTTGTTTTAGAGAAAATCACCGTGGTTCTTTGTTAAACACAAAGGCCACAGACGTGGGAATTTATGATTTGTTTGCATCAATGCCAACGTCTGAGAGCCACTGCCATTCCTTTGCCATAGTAACGCTGACTCAAACTGACCTCCATGATGCCACAGATGGGAGGGGTGAATTCATAGACTTCACCAGTCAACTTTGTCAAAATTAATTTGAACCAAAAAAAATTTAAATTTAAAATGATCTAACTACCTTTGGCCCACAGGATCCTTATTTACAACCAACCTCTTGAACTCCCCTCTGAGAACATAGTTATGCAGGAGAGCTGTCAATGTATTAACCTATTTAACAATAAATACAGGATTTAAATTCCTCACTGAATACTTATTGACCCTGATTTTCCCAGGGATTCCAGTGAGGGACTTTGGAAGCTGTGTTAACTCTCTGAAGTCATGAGAATGATACCTCATACATTTAGGAGTTTCTTTATTGGATGATGAAATGTTCTGAAATCAATTGTGATGATGGTTACACAGTTCTGTGAACACACTAAAAACACTGGATTATACATTTTAAATGGGTGAGTTGTGTGGTATGTAAATTACATCTCAATAAAGCTGTTAAAAATAAAACTATGGCTGGGCACGGTGGCTCATGCCTATAAATCCAGCACTTTGGGAGGCCAAGGTGAGAGGATTGCCTGAGCCCACAGGTTCAAGACCAATCTAGGCAACTCAGTGAGACTTTATCTGTACAATAAACCAAAAAAATTAGCTGGGTATGGTGGCACATGCCTGTAGTTCCAGCTACTTGGAAGGCTGAGGCAGAGGGATTGCCTGAGCCCAATGGGTTAGATAGCTGTGAGAGTTTCACTGCACTCCAGACTGGGTGACGGTGTGAGACTCTGACTCAAAAAAGAAAACAAAACAAAAAAATTTATTCAGGCAAAAAAAAAAAAAAAAAAAAAAAAGCCATAGCTAAGAAATGAGCACAGATCATACAAGTTTGCTTTTTTACTTTATCAGTCTGATTGGTTAAAGACTTGCTAGTTCATGGAAAGAAGAACAGTGTGAAAATATTCTTACTTGTAGGAGATACGCTGCTAGCTGGAGAAGGTTGGGTGACAAGGGTAGATTCAGTATCACTCGATGGAGAGCCTGTTGGGGGATTTGCAGAACCTGAAAGGATCAGACAGACATGTATAATGCACAAAATATTATAATAGAAAGATAAAGTATTGACTTAATTCCTAAATATGCTGTACTTTATTTATCCATCATCTAACAAATCAATATGAAGGGCCTGTTAAGTACAAGATGGTGGTACATAACTGAGAAACACATGGGGCTGTTCTTAAAAAGCCTGTATCCTGAACAGTAGGCCACCAGTTCCTGGGTTGAGTACCATGACAGGGGATGTACAGGGTGTCAAGGAATGCAATGAAGAGGCACCAATCAAGATCGGGAGGTCTCAGAAAGCTTCCTGAAGAAAGTGACATTTAACCAAGACTTGGTAAAATCATTATAGCAGTTACTGTTTTGGAGTATTTGAAAAGGGACCATGCAGTTAGACAAAATCCATAAACCCACCAAAATTCTTTTTATCTGCTAAGGTAGAAACAATGATATAACTATTCCATTGGATAGAACATCATTAAGCTCAAGATTCATGGTTTTATACTGCCTTTTCTAAAATGTCATATTTTGTCATAACATTTTTGTTTGGCTACAACTTTCTTTTTTGAGTGTGCATGTGAGAGGTGTTGAAATAGAGCCTAGAATACATTATTTTACTAATATTTTACATTCATGTCAATTCCTTAAGCCTCCATTATTGTACTTTAAAACAGTCCTATTGGAAGTATAAAAAATTTACAAGTGCCAGAAGGCTCTATTGATTTCAAGAACATGTGGGTTAAACGTGATTTGGTGATTTTGAAGTTAGAGAACTTTGTGAAGTTTCTAGATGTAATGTCAGTGGATATAGTACCACACATCTGATGAGCTATGTTAATTTGGATGTTTAATTACAAATATACTATTGACTCCATTCTGTAATTTATTTTTAGGGACAAGTATATATTATTTAAGTTACGTTACTTTCTAGCATGTAGCCTGGTAGGAGGAATTTATTATTCTAAGCTAGATGCATCTGTGTTTTATTCTCATTGTTGGGAGTGTTGTTATTGTGGTTGGCTGTGGGTGGTGCTACAGCTGACTCTGACCTGCTACCTCATAAATGCTTTTGAGCTATTAGTCTCTGAGGAGGCGGGGGACAGTTATATGAGAGGTAGGATATTAGGTTAATGAAAGGACATTCTCTTTCCCCATGCCATCCAAAATAGGTTTGAACATGCTGAGGGCATGACACATGAGTCTGCTCATGATTTGGACCCCCATTACTCACCAAATTTCATTTCCTGATGCTGCTTATTATCTTTTCCAACTCTTTCAAATCATACCCTCTATCCAAAGGGCAACATTTCAGCCCAATTTCTCAAACACAATATGGTCTCTGTGACTTCTTGGTCTTTGTTTATGCTATTTCCTGACACTTTCTTATCCCCAAACTTCCCTGAGAAAGTACCTTCTCAAACTTGAGGAAGCTTGTGGTGTGTTCATCCCCCATGTCTATCCTAGGAAAAAGCCTTATTATTCTGTGTCATCAGGTATGCATCTCAAGAAAGTAATTGTTTTGTTCCTCACTAAATTTATGGATACTGGCAAATGGAAGTGAACAAAACAATACATACAAATTCATTCTCAACACTGGAAGAAAGAAGACCAACTTTGCAAGCGTATCTGACTGCTGGTAGACCATAAGCATTATCTTCCAAATTAGTAACTTAATAACATGGGGCATGGACCTTGAAAATAAATGTCTAGATTGATTACAACAGAGGTTGGCAAACAATGGCCCACAGTCAAATCTCACCTACTCCCTATGTTTGTAAATAAAGCTTTATTGGAAAAATATCATGTCCATTTTTGACATATCACCTATGACTGCTTTTGTGATACCAATGACAGAAAATGTTGATAGAATATGTTCAATCCCAAGCTGACATAATGGAAAAAATTTATTTTTCACTGATTGAACTTTTCTATTTTAGAGTATTATTCTGCCATATTTCATACCAAATGTTTTTATAAGTTGAGGGGGTTCAGCCTCATGGTGCATTAGGAAGATATTTCTGCAAAATTTGCATTTTGAGATAAACTCTGTGTCCTGTGGCGAAGTTGATACAAAGTTTCCTGCGCAAAATCTGAAGCCTAAAAGAAGTTTGTCTGGTTTTAGATTGGATTGCAAAGTAGAAACTCTGCCTTGGACAAAACCAAACTCTGGAGGTGTAAAAAGGAGCAGTTAAAACCCAAAAGGGCAAAAATGACTTCCCAAAGCTCAAATTCAGAATTTAGCAGAAATACCTCAGTCAGTTTTCAGATCTTTGCATTTACCATAATGTCACAAGAGGGTGAACTGATGCCTAAAGTCACTTCATCTGTTTCTGAGTGTGCCCTCTCTGGGGTAGGCCTGACAGGGCTCTCAGAACCACCATCATGGGCAGACACAGCCACAGTTCTGTCCCACAAGGGAAGCTGACTCAATTCTGGGTCTTCCTCAGAGCTTGTATTAGCTCTCATCTGATCCACCTAGAAATGAACCAAACCCCAGGGCTTGCCAGGTCTTCTCAAAATGTCGTCCATAGACCAGTAGAATAGGCTTCTCCTAGGATCTTGTTAGAAATGCAGAAACACAGATCTTATCCAGACTTGCTGAGTCAGAATGTTTGCATTTTAACAAGATGACTGTGTGATTTATATGCTTATTAAATTTCTCTACTGGTACCCTTAGAAACCCCAGTCATGAGTATGTCAGACTTGGGTTTGAGGCTAGCTGCACTGAGGAAAGTCATGAAACAAGAAGTATTTGTCTGGCATCTTTCAGTAGTCTTCCTATTCCACTGCTGAGATATCCCTTTTACTCTTCTCTCCACATCCCAGGATATGCGCACGCGCACACACACACACACACACACACACACACACACACACACACACACACACTCACACAACCTGTCAGCACTTAACTTCCTTTCTATTACAGAGATTTTGATCTCATCAGCTAACAGTTGGAAATTCATTTAGTAAACAAATCATTGTCAAGGCAAACAACAGCCAAAATATTATTCACGCCAGGGGATATTGCATTCAGCTTTTGTATTAAAACAAAAGTATTTCCCCACCACCTCAAAAAAAAAAAAAAAATCTGACTCTTTACATATTCCTCAAAATAGACTCAACAATGCTACATTTTTGGACATACTGAAAAGCTATTAGGTCAGGATGTTTCTGGAAAGGCTTTTTAAAAATTTGTTTGTAGTGACTGTTGAAATATGGGAACTCTGCAGACCCTGGTGTTCAAATAGTTGCCTGAAGAGCCACTGATCACCCTCACTCTGACCCCCTCCCCTTTGTGAATTCTCTAGAATAGGAATCACTGAGCACTTGAATTTCCTGGGAGACTGGATGAAGATGGGGGAAGGAAGCACCTCAGAAAACTGTTACCTCACAGCCTCTAGCATGATTACTCTTTTCTGGGAGCAAAAATTCTTCCCCTTCTCTCACTTAAGTTTCCTTCTTGCTTTGTAACATTCTCAGAATTTCTCTACTCTAGCACTCAGAGACAACAGATTTTTCTTCTGTGTTTTCATCTCTGTATCTTGTCAGCAAGAATACCTTGGCAAGGCAATGACTCTTGCACCAGGTATCAGAAATTTACTCCAGAGTTTATAAAGCATCCAGCAGGACTACCACAGGCAGAGAGTGTGTTTGGAGTAAGTGTTTAATAACTTGGAACCAATAGAGAGATATAACACAAGTGCTGGCATTGCTTTACAGAGCTGTGCCTGCATCTTCTAAATCATTCACAAGGATATGTGTCAGAATGAGACTAGAAGGTAAACTATACTTTGGGAAAACTGAACTCTTCAAGATTTATTGTCTTCAATATTTGACCATAGAGGATAAAGACTCATTTGGCAATTTAAAATTAACCACCTGTTCAGAAAATTATGCTAGGTCAAGGATTGTCCTATAAAATTGAAATTACAGTATATATTCGGTATTATATATAATCAGGGCTCTTTCTATTAACCTAAAAGTATTCATTATTTTCTGATATTGAAATCAAACACAGTTTTAACATTAGAAAATACTGGTTTTGTGAGACATGGTTCTGCCTGTGATGGAAATAATGTTCTCTTTAGGAATGTGAAGGCTATGCATCTTTAGTTCATCTTCTAAAGAAGATTCTGCCAAAGTTACTGGCAAATCAGTGTGAGAAACAGGTACCTTCACATTGTTCTGAGATTGTGCCAAGACTGTAGCACAATCCATGTCCAGCCTTCTAGGAAGGAGGTGTTCTTATTCCAGAGGGAATTAGGAAGCTGAAGCTGAGTAAGTCTATTTTAGGGTAAATCCATCACAGTTTCTGAATGATTAACCTTAAGTGCACAGGGCAATGTGTTCATACATATGCATATACGCAGACACACAGGTAGAGCTACAGGGATGATGCCACTGTCCCAGCATCAGAATAGCATCCGCTTCTGAGTAGTGGGGATAGATTTATGCTGAGATGCACACTCTTCTTCAACCAAGTCTCCCCTAACCAACCACAGAATTTTTGAAGAACCTGGCAGGACCCAAGATTCAGACTGTATCCTTGGAACAAAAGAAAACTCTTTTCCTTGTTAATTATTCTGTGTTTTTATTATGTCATAGACTACACTATTTCTGAAAATAGTATGGTGGTCAGAGGTTAATGGTCCTATAGAGGTTCAATAATGATTTGCAAATCTGTCTTATATGATTATGTTACGATTAAATATACATGTTTGACAGCTGTCATTATAAAATTCTATTTTTCATTAGGCATGTCTGTTGGCACTGCATTTGTTGAGACATTAGTTCTTGTCTTTTATGTAGTAAAATCACCATTATTTGGTCTGGTTCAGGGTAGTAAATAATCTGGTTAGTCAAATGTAATGACTAAAATGGTCCCATATGTCAATTTTCAAGTCACGAAAGTCTTCTATATGCCAGAAATTGCTTCAAACTAGAGATACTAAAATCCTTAAGATACAGTCCCTAACTTTATGATATTTATAAACTTATCTATTACTAAGTATTAAAATTATATATACTGTATAAAATTCAATGTTTTTAATAATTCAGAAGAAATTTTAGGATATTTTTAATTTGTCTTGATCCAATATTAGTATTAATTTTCATGATGTGGTAGATTAACAAAAATACTAGTTATTAAGAGTTGTGATTACTTAAATTTGAATAACGAATTTGCTGTATCCAACAGAAATTCTGTATGGAAAGCAGGAGTTACCTTTCTTTTTTTTGAAACAATTCTTTTCATTAGAATTCTATTTATCAAAAATGTTTGAAAATTTGAAGCCTAATAGTTTTGAGTTATGTTAAAAATTTTCTGAGTTTAAAATATTATAGAAGTAACGAGTATTCTATTAGACATGTTCGGAATTTATGGCAGCCTTGGCCAAACTTGTTGACCATTTTAAGTAAACAACTCACCCAAGGATAAAGTGATCTTTTCTGATGAGATATTCCATACTTTATTTCCCGGGGCTGGAGATAGAGCCATACACCAAATGGTCAGGTTGTTTGATTGGGCTGGTTTATTTAACACCCTTGTTAAAACAGACTCCAGTTCTAAAAATCCACGTTTGCCTTTACTCTCTTTATTAACAATGGATATTCCTGCAAGACAGAAGAGAACACAGTTACCCACCAACATGTTCGGCACGAGCCATGCAATAATACCAAGGCATAGCATTATCAATTTGTGGTAATGGAAAGTCTAAAGTGGTCACACTGCAGCTTTTCTGGAGTGACAGTTGATTTCAGCAGACCTGGAATTAAGCTGAGCTGTTTGCTCATGTTCCTGAATGGTATTGATCCATGGTCAAGGTGTGAAAAGAATTGATCGATAGTGTTGCTTTGTTTGCAACTAGGAGTCCAGTGGGTTTGGAGACAGACTGCTCAAGTCCATCAGCATTGCTTATTGATAACTGTAAGACTGATGATTTGTACTTGGTTTGGGTTAGACCCTGGGACAGCTCTGCTGTGGAGTCTGGTTAATGTGCAGGGATATAATTAAGTAACCAGTAAAATATGAACCAACCCCAACTGAGACTGGGGTTTTTAGGCCCTAAAAAACACGGAATTTATTTATTAAAAATTGTGTATTTAGTCTTACATGTTTAAACTTTAGTTTAAACCTTTAAAATATGTATCATAGGCTACACTTTCAGCAAGGAGTTCCAGGAAATCAGATGAGGACTCCATCATCCTCCCTCTGTAAGGACTACAGCCAGTTTAAACTTCATTTAAACTTTAGTTTAGTACTATTAAAGTACTCTCTGTTTGATGCTATACACCTATCGAGATGCTTTTTCCACTGCTAAAAACAGTTTTTGAACTCATCAGTTTTGATGCCTTTCAGTGCTTATGTCGTTTGTTGTTTCACCTCTTCCTCATTGCAAAATGTTTCCCTTTGAGGCCTCTTTTCAGCCAGGAAACAAACAAACAAAAGTAGTTCGGGGAGAAACTGGGTGAATAGGGAGGGTGGGACACAGGGGTCATGCCGTTTTTTGGTCAAAAACGGCTGAACACTCAGGGCAATGTGGGCAGGTGCACTCGTAAATCACCCATCTTGAAATAGGTGAACCCGTTGGAAGAATCTTCAAAATAAAATCACTGAAGCTAAACACAGCTTCTCACAACAATGTTAGCTGGTACACTGATGCCAATGGGTTCCTAGTACACTTATCTGGTGGAGACAGCATGCACTGCAGGCACCAGCTCTCCAAAAAATAATTTTTTTTTTTTGTCCTCATAGTTTGGACTTCTCACTTCTGAGTTGTTTTGTGTACATATCGGTGTTCCCAATCTGAGAGCAAAAGTGCATCTGGAGTAGTCCTTACAGAGGGAGGATGATGGAGCCTTCATCTGGTTTCCTGGGACTCCTTGCTAAAAGTGTAGCCTATGATACATATTTTAATTGTGTTGCTATGTTGTAGTTTTTTCCTGAAATAAACTGTAGATTTAGAAGCATTGCCATTTTTGATGCTGTGAGTCTTCTTTAGAAATGGAACTCTAGCTGCCACTATCAGTATTCTCCAAGTAGCATACATGGTAGCTGGGAATTAATGTAAAACCATCTATTACCATAGGTCAGAACTTTCTGGACTCTCCCAGCTTCCTTACATTAAAAATTCTTAATGCCAGTTCTGAAGTTATTAGTTGCCAAGATAGCAGCTATATGTAATTGTGTGCTGCTAGAATTCTGACTATATGGTATGGTCTCTTGGGTGGAAAGTAATGGGCACATCAAATCTAGGTGCTTTATCTGTGTGGAGTTTATTTAACAGAAAAATATATTTATAATAACCTATATAATATATTTTTAGAATTGCTTTCTGTTACTTTTGTGAATGACTTTTTTTTAATGTAAACTAATAGCATAACCAATAATAGTCTCAAAATGCATCGTGATCAATACAATTATCCACCCATAAAGTTTTTAATTTTATCAATTAAAAATAATAATGAAACAAGAGTTACATGACTCAGTTATTATTGAAAGTATATCAAGCTTTGAGGAGCAATGAATCAGAACAATGAATCTCCTGCTGCTGTCCAGGCAGGAGATGGCTGAGATTATTCTGGAAGAGTCTGTCATGCTTACTACCTATGAAAAATATGGCTTTGTGAATTATCACCTGAGCTTGTCTCAGTGTGTGTTCCTGTTCCAGGAACCTGTAATCCTCCTATTTAACATGTTCCTGTCAAAGAGCCAACTCCTTTACATACACTTCCTCTAACACCTTCAGCCCCTGCCCCAGATCCTCACAAGAAAAAAAAGAAATTATTTTTTTTACAGATTTAAAGCAGTGGTACTAAACTAATTGAATACATTGTACTGAAACAAGAAAGAAATAAAAGAACAGGTAGCCACGTTACAAAAGCAGAAAACTTTTTAATAAATATACGTTGAGTTAGACATTTTTACCCTCATACAAGATCACTGCTACTAATAGTTAAATAAAACAGTGCTTGTATATGGTTTGACAAAGCCAACTATATTTTTCATTCTGGGAAATGTCACATTCCATCCCCTTGGAGGAGACAGATGAAGTATCAGCAAATAATATCTGGTAAGCAAGATGATGTTTTCCCTGGAATGAGAATTATTTTTTATTTTTATTATGTTTCTGGAGTTGAGGTCTCACTCTGTTGTCCTGTCTGGAGTGCAGTGGTATGATCACAGCTCACCGCATCCTCAGTCTTCTAAGTGGCTGAGACTACAGGTACATGCCATCATTCCTGGCCTGAATGAGAATTATTCTTAAATGCCAAGATGAACTTGGACAATGACAATCTTCAATGTTGTTTTCTTTCTGTACCAAACCAATTTCCACTGATTAATTTTCTTACCTTCTTCTTCATCTTGAAGAAACCTTCCATCTATAAACCATGTGAGATTTGCTTCAGGAAATACATTCTTTAGAGAGCAGGTAAATGTTCTCTGAGGTAGACACAGATAGAAAGAGAATTATTTGCAAATTTAGAAGAAATTGGTGCTCCTTATATCTCAGCAACATTTACATAAGATAAACTGGTAAGAAATGATTTCTTCAATTTTAACTGGATAACTGCAATACAGTGTGTACCTTTAATAGAGATTGTATTAAAACATGGACTATAAATGTGCTATTATAAATTTATGACTAGAATCCTAGATCAATTTAAGAATCTAGGACTAGCCGGGCTCGGTGGCTCAGCCTGTAATCCTGAGCCTTGGGAGGCCGAGGTGAGTGGATTGCCTGAGCCTGCGGGTTCGAGACCCACCTGGGCAACTTGGTGAGACCTTGTCTCTACAATAAATCAAAAAATTAGCTGGGCATGGTAGCACACGCCTGTAGTTCCAGCTACTTGGAAGGCTGAGGCGGAAGGATCGCCAGAGCCCAGCAGGTCGAGGCTGAGGTGGCTGGGAGCGGCCACTGCACTCCAGTCTGGGTGACAGAGTGAGACTCCAACTCAAAAAAAAAAAAAAAAAAAAAAGAATCTAGGACTATACTGATGTTACAAGTCTGGGTTCTGGGTTCTGGGAAAGAGAAATCATAACTCTGTTTAGGTAAAATAAAATAATAAAATGAAATTTATACACAAAAATAAACTCTAAATGGATCAAAGACCTAAATGTAAAACCTCAAGCTATAAAAATCTTAGAAGATGCAGGAGACACACTTATAGAAATAAGAGTAGATAACTAGTTCCCGATCAAAACCCCAAAAGCCCATGACATAAGAGATAAGATAGACAAGTGAGACCTCATTAAACTGGAAAGCTACTGCAAAGCAAAAGAAACCATCAAGAGAGTGGAAGACAGCCCACAGAATGGGAAAAAATTCTTGCCAACTGTATATCTGACAAAGGTATAACATCCAGCATCTATAAGGAACTCAAATGTGCCAAAAGGGAAAAAAAAGCCCCATTAAAAAGTGGGTAAAAGACATGAATAGACACTTCTCAAAAAAAGATATACAAGCAGCCAACAGACACATGAAACAGTGCTCAGTCTCACTAATCATCAGAGAAATGCAAATCACAACCACATTGAGATACCACCTAACCCCAGTAAGAATGGCCATCATAAATAACAAACAAGAACAGATGCTGGCAAGGGTGTAGAGAAAAAGGAACACTTCTACACTGCTGGTAGGAATACAAACTAGTTCAACCTCTATAGAAAACAGTGTGGTGATTTATAAAAGAACTAGAAATTGACCTTCCCTACTGGGAATATACCCAGAGGAACTCAAATCATTTTACAAAAAAGATACCTGCACATGCATGTTTATTGCAGCACTATTCATAATAGCAAAAACATGGAATCAACCATGCTGCCCATCAAAGCTGGACTAGATTTTAAAAATGTGGTACATATACATGATGGAATATTATGTAGCCATAAAGGTCTAAAATAAGGACTGTGTAGCAACTTGAATGAATTTAGAGTTTATAACAGATCTATCACAGAAACAAAGAACAGAGTATGTTCTCACTCATAAGTGAACTCTGAACATTTACCATAATACTATAAGAAAGGGATTGGCAGTAGCCGGATACTGCCGGGGTAGAAGGGGGAACACAACATTGTTGGAGACCGGCTCCGATCTATGAGGGGAGTTGGACCCGCACCAGAGAGTCAAGACGGAGAGAAGAGACCACTCGGAGGCAGTTCTTCTGGGATCAGTCTGATCAGGACTGAGTTCAAATTTTATTCAGACTCCTTCCAACTTATATACCATTTTCTATACCCTCCAGCAGTGTGATAATTACTTGCTGGGGGCGTACAAATTCCATGATGTATATCGCGCTTTACAAACTATGCATCACAAGACCATCACGAGACTTGCAAGTTCCAAGCAAACAATTACAATTCCATGATGCATGACGTGCTTCACAAAATTTACATTAAGATCACAGGTGCACAATTTCAATACAGATTGTTCAAAGTGTTTTCCATAATGTTCAATAAATCATTCATATTATACTCTTTGTTCTAAACCCTGATTAATACAAAAACTTTCTAAGTTAACTCTAGGTTCAATCCAAGTTCACTGACTCCCAATATTTTCCAACGATCAATACCATCAACTTAACACTATACTATAATCTATAAGTTTACTTAAATGACTTAATTTTTATCCATTCCATCAACCCATCATGATTCAACATAGTGCCCTGTGATTCTACAACAACCAATTCAAAACTTATTCTTGAACTACAAAACCCCACCATGACTTATATGAGTTTCATATATCCAAACTTTAATTTTTATATAATCTGATGATTGAACTTTAATACTATGCTATATCTTATTAGGCTAATACCTTATCATTAATTCTTTCATAAATCTTATGGTAATTGTCATACTCTTGAACAAGGAAATGTATGGTTGCCATGACGATGACCACAGGCTGAAGCAAACAGAGTTTCGGCATGTAACGAAACTAGAAAAACGTTCTGCCTGGCTAGAGGCAGGGCAATAAAACTATTATGGTAATTTAGTTTCTAATCTTAGCTCTAGGAGAAACTGCTTTCGAGAACAAAAGCTGACTGACCAGTCTACCAGGAAATAGAAGTTTAAAAATGTCTTGAAAAAGGAGTACATCTTAGAAAGACAGAGAAAAATAATTCTGCTGTGCACTTTCCATCAGGCATATTGATATTTACTTAAAAGTTTTGTATCCTAACGTAAGTTTTGTTGCCATGTATGCACACTGGTCACTATTCACACACCAATATTATAGGTATTGCTTGTTAGAGGCGATCTTTCAGATGGGCCTTTATAGGCCTCAGTCATGTAGCTATAGATGTTGGCTCACAACACAACATAAATAAGGATACCTGATCTCAAACCAGGCAAAATGGGGACCAAAGGGAGGCCCAAATTTTACCTGTACAATGTCTACTTGTCTACTCAATCCTGAATTGTACCTCACATCTTTAAACTAAAAAATATTAAAAAAGACATAAGACAAAATACAAAATTGAAACCTAAGACTTGAAGGAAGAAGTTATAACTGGCAAAGGCCAGAGAAGAATATTCTGTTGGATTCAAAGCTAAAAGTATCTACATATTGTTCATGTTTCCCAAATAATGTAAAATACTATTTTTAACAATGATGACATAAATCATTTAATGTAAATATCCCAGCTTTTACTTGTAAAGCATTTCCTGATAAAAAGAAACTATCACCTTAATTTTATAGGATAGGTAGGGCATGCCTTGTTATTGCCATTTGACAGAGGGGAAAGTCAAGGCACTGAGCAGTTAAAGGGAGTGGGAAATAGTTAATGACATAATTAGAAACAATGTGCCTCAATCCCAGGCCTGGATATTTCCTGGTAAAACACCCTGTTTCAAAATAAGAAAGAAAGAAAACAATAGGTAGCTATGTTACAAAAACAGATAACCTAGAAGCAGGGTTAGTTGTATTTGATTTCCAACTCTGTGTTTATTCTTTAGGGGATGATACTTTCTTCAGCATCTTGGTGAAAAAAGTCACTCAGAGTTATTGGGTCCCCATTATTTTACCTGAGACCCTGCAGAATTACAACACCATCTATTTTTAAAAATTTTTACTTTAAAGATGTGGGGTATAATTCAGGGTTAGGTATACAAATGGTTTTATAATGAATTGTCTTCTCATAGAGAGATGTATATGTCTCGCCCTAGTCTTTAGTTTCCAAACATTTTTCACAAATGATGAATATTTTAGTTAACTAGTAAAGAACAATTAACTGTATGTGATACTTTGTGTGCCAATACACTGACTCGTTACTTGCCAAAACTTTGGACCTATAGAGCTAAGGAAACAAACTCAAGGACACTAAGAAACATTTTTCTGGTGAGATCTTATTAAGGTACCGTTTACCATCTCTAATACACTGCCTTAAAAATCCCAAGGAAACAAAGAGAATTTCATGGAGGTTTATCTATCACATCCAACATAGTAGGTAGCAAACACTGCAGATCCTGGTATTTCCTTTTATTCCAAACTTACTTTTTTCAGAAAACGGGGATACAATTGTATGTTAGGTATGTAGACCCATAAAATTGTATCATCTTCTTCCTTCAAAAATAAAAAGTAAAAACAGGTCCCCTAAAATAAATATTAAGTAAAGATAATTCAGTTCATTTAATCCAAGAGTTGCCAAAAGATCAAAGATTTATTTTTATCTCCAGTTGGACAAGCAAGAGATATGGAGGCACAGGAGGTACAGTGTTAAAAAAAAAAAAAGCAATAAGAAAAAAAAAGCAGTTATTTGTATTAACTCCTACTTAACCGTTTTCATGATTCATTTCCTCCATCTTCCCTCATTCATTTCCTACCAAAGACGATTGATTATATGCTAATATCAGGGAAAAGTCAGGGGTCCATTATTTTACAAAGACAACTGGCTCATTGAAGAAATCTCTTACCAATTCTAAAAATATTGGAAAGTTTTGACTCTTGTGGATTCTCTACCTTCAGATTTTCTAGAATGATTCAGATTTCAAAAATGCTATACTGTCTCTAACCTCTATGCTCCAAGTATCAGTTTAGGAATATGGTTCTTGTTCTAAAAATTCTCTCAGTCTCTCTAAAATTGAAAAGTCACAGACTAAAGTAGTTCAACTTGAGGTCAAACGTCTCAGGAAATGTCAAGCATATATGGCTTTGTTGAGCAAGCAGAGCTGTCTTAAACTGAGAACTTGGCCTAAATGAGCAAGAAAAAAAATGCTAATTCTGAAACAATATAAAAGTAAATATGCACAGAAGTATGTACATGTGCAAGCACACACACACGTACACATACACATACATGTGCTCCTTGGCTGAGAAGTAAAAATCATTTGCTCCTTCGTTGTGTGCCTGTTGCATTGAAAGGCAAGCCAAATAATTGGATTTTCCAACACATTATTCTAAGTATGTATGAATGAGTGAACAATAGAACAGAGAATTATGTAGTAAG